CATGTTCCTGAATATGCGTTACTTTTTAAAACAAATGGAACGTTTGGTAAACCCTGCCCTAGGTTTCTGTATGGTTATCAGAAGGATGGAACACTGCTTTCTCTACCAGTTGGCCATCGTGGATTTTAAGTCATCAAGCTATCAGATCTGCTGTCAGCATTCTGCTCATCAGCGTTGAGTGGTATCAGAAGGAATTCTAGCTTCTGTTTTCTTGAGCTTTCCCGAAGTGCCCACCACTGTGCCGCGCTTTATGTCCATTGCCCTGTTTAACCCTTTTTGCAGTTTTGCAGATGAGGAAATCAGAACCAGGGGTGTGAGTCCTCCACAGGCAGGCGTGGGTGGCGTGGACTCAAACCTCCCTGACCCCAGATCCCATGCCTCTGCTACCGGGCAGCCTGAGCCCCTAAATCAGACATCAGGTCTGCCGCAGTCCCTATGTGTTTCAAGTAGAACTTGAACCCTTCTTCACCTCCTGCTGGTACGTCCATCAGCACTGGGGTCACTGGCCCTGGGCCCCTTCTGCTCTGCTCAGCCCTCCATGTGTTACAAGCGCCAGGCCTTTGAAAGGCACTGTGTTGTTCCAAGTGGGATGAGTGCAATCTAGAGTGTTCTGTCTGTAATGACCTTTGTGGATGAGCTTGATGTCACCAAGGTCGGAAAATGGTCACATTTCATCTTGTGGTTAAGTGTGCTTCTTGTGGCTGGTTGTACTTAGTGTGGGTTAGCATTTAAGTATTCGTATACTACCGTTTAGTGGTGGAATTGTGGGCTTCCCCCGTGGCTCAGAGGTAAAGAATCCACCTCCAAAACAGGAGTCACAACAGGAACTGTGGGTTTGACCCCTGGTTTTGGGAAGATCGCCTGGAGAAGGAAGTGGTAACCCCCTCCAGTATTCTTGCTTCAGAAATCACATGGACAGAGGAGCCTGGCGGGCTACAGTCCATGGGGTCACAGAAGAGTCAGACACAGCAACCAAGCAACATACTGCCGTAGAAAAGGCAGTTTGAACTTAGAATCCTGAAGTGTGACTGCGCGGGTAGGCGTGGCAGGGAAGGGCTATATCTCAGAGTGAGCAGAGGGGCTGGGCCACTGTCCCAGGCCACACTCGGGAAGGGAGGGCATTTTACCTGGTTACGTACACCACAGACCTCAGAAGTGAAGGACGCGAACCGCAGCGGAGAGGTTAGGCTTCAGTCAGTTTTGTCCCTAACATTGACTGCTGTCATTTAAGCACTACTTGTAAATTGACTTGGTCATGCCAAATTAACAAAAGGACTTTGAAAATTCAGAAGTACTGCACACTTTGGTCTGGTCTGGTCTTTCCCATGTAGTTCCCTCTAGAACTCTTGTTTCCACCATTGTCTGTCCTGCTTGTGTTAAGTTCTTTGGCCCATGAGGCTCTAGGCTGCCTCCCCAGATTCCACCTCGTCTGTCCCAAGAGTGGGAGTTCCAGCTTTCTTCTTGTGTTGCCATAAAGTAAATGCTAAAGAGAGAGCCTTCAGAAGAGCTTGAATAGCTTGTTAACAGAGAAGGGTGGAATGGTACTTGGGAAGTTAATTAGCTGCAGTCTTGTGGAAGATTTATTTCAAGTCCATCCAGGTTGGTCTAGGAAAGGCACAGTAAATCCACGGTGAATTCAGTTTGTGATTTCTGCATTTTCATGTGTAGTTTTGTCGACCTCTCAGTCCATGAAACATAATTGGTATGTTTCTGTACACAGACCAGCATAAGTTACGTTTACCATTTTTTCTTCTGAAGAAGAATTCTCCCCCAAAAGTGGTATTTTTTGTTGTTGTTTTGTTAATGTATACTGGCTTGGAAAGCTTATAATACTTGAAATCTTGACTGTGTGAAAATGGGTTTAAAATAATTGCTAATTGTCCCAATCCTTTGCAAAGACATACCAGGTTAAAGTCAACATCACATGTCCTGAACAATGAGATCTTACAACTGTTGTGAGGTCTGGTCTTTGTTACATGAAGAGTTTTATGTGTGTAGAATTCTAGTGGCTCTTAAATTTTAGAGGAAATTCCAGATCTATAAAAAGTAAGAATTAAAAGCTATTGTATTTCTATTAAATTCGGTTTGGAAAAAAATTCTTTAAAACAAGAGAAACAAATATCTTCTTACTTTTAAAATGATTCCACTGCATAAGGTTAGACTTCTGCTCATGTAATCTCATCCTACCTCTTATGTTGGTACATAGTTGAGTGAGAAGATACTGCTCTAAAATTTCTTAACTTTGTAAAACCATATTCAGAATAGACAAAAGTAACTGAATTAATTCATTATTGACCAGAGACATATTAATACGTCTTTTGTTACCCAAACATTATTGACTTGAGACATTTCAAGATTCACTTAACAAATCGCCAACCACAGGTATTCATTTCTGCAAAAATCTCTCAGTCAATAATGTGTTAAAAGAGAAGAATTATAGGTGAACTAAAGAGCTGGGTGCCCTGAATCTTACTGTATAAGTATGTGCCTTTTATAACTAGGTGTCTATATATGTGATTTCTGTAGCCATGTGTTTCCTTACTTACACATCAGACATTTGGTTCTGTTCTGTTCATTACAGTAGCTACAGTCTTTTTGTGGCCATTGAGCCCTTCAAGTGTGGCTGGTCCAAACTGAGATGTGCTATCTGTAAAATATATGCTGGATTTCAAACACTTTGTACAAAAGAAAGCATATAAAATATCTCAATTTTTATACTGATTACATGTTTAAGTGTCAACATTTTGGTTATGTCAAATGAAACAAAATATTATTATATGTAATTTCACTCCATTTTTTTCTCTTTTTTAATGTGGTCTGCTAGAAACTTTTACATTACATATGAAGCTTGCATTTGTGAGCCGTGTTACACTTCTGTGGGACAGTGCTAGTCTGAACACCCCTGTGTGTACCTACTTATGTTTTAGTAACAGCAGACAGCAGATAGAAAATCCTGTGGAATGACTTTCAATTGTAACCTCTGATTTTATTTTCTTACATTTCAAATACTGTTTCTCAACATCATCTTTTCATTCATTCTTTTTTTTTTTTCTATCCCTATGCGGTGTCACTTTAAGCCGCCTCTCCTGTTTGATACTAGTAAGTCTCCTAGGAATTTAAATAGACCTCAGTGAAAGCAATACTTGAGCCTCATTCACAAGTTCAAGTTAGATCATTATTCCTAATAATGGCTTTAAGTGCTTAGATAGACCAGCGCTTCATGTCTTGAATTGCTCGTCATTTCTTTATAAAGATATTTCAAGAAATTGCACAGTGCCTTCCCTTCTTTCATTGTTTTCTAGCAAAAAGTAACATAATCCTTTATTAATTTGTTGAAAGTCAGAGAAGAAAAGCCTTTTATAGTAGTAAAAACGAAATGTTTCCAAGTACTGAGAACAAGGAGCAAGACTGCTCATGAGCGATGGTCCTCGGAAAGCTAATTTTAAAAACAAGTCATGAGTGCGCTGCCAGTCCGCCAGTGGCTTTGACCTCTGTCTCGTTTTCCCGTTACGCTTGGGTCCAGGTTGTCATCAGCTACCACGAGGAAACCTGTGTAATTCCTGGAGAGCGAGAAGTTGCACTGTTAGACTTAATAGCATGGTAGTCATGGAAGCATCAGTTATCTTCATCAAGGCAATTCAGATTTGATTATTGTAGAACTGTGTTGAATACCAAACCAGTGGAGTAGTAGCTGGAGCTAAATCAAGGGATTGTCATTTTTGTCAGATGATTAGGGCTGACTTGGAAGAGATATGAAAGGGTTGAGCTGTGTAAATACTCTCTTTTCAGCAGAAAAAGAAAAGGTCCATCACGGCCTTAAGATGCAGCTTGTTAGCTTGATGAATTTCAAACTATTTAACCTTAGCAATTATGTCCCCCACCTACATGAAAGTATATCCATGCCTTGGGGTTATGTCTCCAAGGACCGATATCAAAGCATGTTGATAATTTTCTGTTAAAATAAAATTCAGCCTTTCTGTGTCTAGTTGGTTCTCTCAAAGGACAGGGCATGCTGTTTCAAGGTCCCAATTATTAGTTTGAGTTACATGTTTAGGTAAACACTGGATCACATTTACTTGTTTTAAAAAACTTTTTAGTGAAAAACATGTAGTTTAACCTTTTAGAGATGATGATATTCAGGTTGTGCAATTTATTAACGTGTTATATTTTTATAAAACTGTGTTTTTGTAGAAGTGTATTTGATTAATTTTTATTTGCCCAAGGAACTTGATACTTCTAAATTATAGACACATTAAATAATAGCAACCTGTTTAAATAGACACACCCAACCTAATGATTCAAGAACATTTCTGCAAGTTTACAAATAATATTAAATGCCAGAAAGTACAATGTATTGCTGCTTTTATAAAAATGTGCGTTGGTCAGTTTGCTTTCATATTGTGGTGGTACCGTGATAATATGTCCACTACCTGGGCACTTATTCAACTCGTACATAAGAACAGATGACATAGAAACTGCTAACTTGAAAAGAATTGCTGAATTCCGGAATAACATTCATTTTAGAAGAAAGACCCAGTGTGCCATCTACTGGGCATAGTTAGCACTCGTTGTCAAAAACTGGGTTTTGCTCTTCTTCAAGATGTAGCTTTCTTGACCACTGCTGTGTCTCCTAGTCCTAAGAATAGATTGTGCTGATGTTACATCTTGTATAATACTTCACTTTTGTTGTGATTTTATCTGATTGTATTTTGGAAAGGCATTGAAACTGATCAAAATTACTAAAATCTAATGAAAGGAATAAATCAGTGTGACCTGAGACAGGTAAAGTAAAGTGTATTAAATTGTGTTTAATCAGACAAAGATAAGTTAGGGCAAAACTTCAACAATGAAAAAAATACCCAAGCACATTAATTATTAAACATCATTATTATATGTATTTCTTCTTTAAGAGTATAAAAGCAATTGTTTCATCATTTTTTGTCTTAGTATACAAATTATATAATTTTATACATTTTTAACTTATTGCTTTTTTCCTGTAGAGAAATCCAAGACCAGTGACTTATCAATTCCATCCAAATTTAGATTATTACAAAGCCCGAGGAGCAGATCTCATGAATAAAAGCCGGTAAGTCCTCTTTCTCTAATGAAAGTTCTAAGTCACTAAGATATTCTTGGAGATTGTCAGGAAATTTTACGCATTTGCTGAAAATAATTTTTTAGGTTTTAGTGTATCAGTGGTTAATGCATGTAATGGATCTCTGTTAAATAAATTATCTGAGTTTTTCTTGGAGGTATGAGAAAAGGTATGTTGATGTCAGTGGTAATAAAAATTAAATAAGTACAAGAGTACTTGTTACAGATTGAAGTTTGGCAACTTCATTTTTCTAACACTAATAAACCTAAAATAAATTGTGCCTACATGTATAATCTCTTTCTAGATCCTTTCTCTTGATTGAAAAGAGGCAGTTCTATAATACATGTTTAAATTATTTCAGTAACAAAATTAAAATTGGGTTTCCCAACTGTCTTTAGAACTGCACAATAAGCTATAAATGCATCTTACGTGTGCATTTGTGATTACATACATAGAAGCTTTAAGGGTCACTGTAGGAATAAAAAGTCATTAAATCCTACTTTTAAAAGAAATTCACACTTGCATAAAGGGTTGATGAACAGTTTTGTTCTTCCATAATACCACACTCAGATGTCTCAAGAGTTAACTTGTCAAACCAGAACCATCTCAAATTAGAACTTAATTTCAAAGTTTACTCTGAAAGACTGAAATGTTAGTCCTGATAAATGCTGCAAGTTGTCCGAGGTTTCTTCCTTCAGCGTTTTGCCTGTTGCTCGCTTTTCTTCAGTAGGAGTGCAGCGACCTCAGGTGCATGGGTGGAGAACACGCACATGGTGTGTTCTCCTCTTACCTGGAGTTAAGAAAAAGGAAAAAAAAGACGTAATTCCTGACATTGAAACCCATAGTCCATGGGATGAGAAGGGTTTTATTAAGAACACAGCTACATTGAAACCTGCGATTTGAACCCTGTTTTAGTGCAGTGTTATTTTTAAATCCAGTATCCTTGTCTGAAGTCTGTCCCTTGCTCTGATGGGCTGTGTGATCACGGGAGCAGTTGTGTGGCCCGCGAGGCTCTCGGGAGCTCTGACTGCCGCTCTGGGTCTCCGTGGCGGGCGCTGCGTCTCCGTGGCGGGCGCTGCGTCTCCGTGGCGGGCGCTGGGTCTCCGTGGAGGGCTCTGGGTCTCCGTGGCGGGCGCTGGGTCTCCGTGGAGGGCTCTGGGTCTCCGTGGCGGGCGCTGGGTCTCCGTGGCGGGCGCTGCGTCTCCGTGGCGGGCGCTGGGTCTACGTGGAAGGCTCTGGGTCTCCGTGGCAGGCACTGGGTCTCCGTGGCGGGCGCTGCGTCTCCGTGGCGGGCGCTGCGTCTCCGTGGCGGGCGCTGGGTCTCCGTGGAGGGCTCTGGGTCTCTGTGGCAGGCGCGGGCCGTCCTGGCGACAGTGCGCGGGCCGCTCTCTAGGCGCAGTGCTCGGGCTCCCGTTGCAGTCGCTTCTCCTGCTGCGGAGCACGGGGTCTGGGCTGGGAGGCGTCAGAAGCCGTGGCCCGCGGGCCCCAGCGCTGGCTCCGTACTTGTGGCGCCTGGGCTCAGATGCTCTGTGGCACGTGGGCTCTTCCAGACCAGGGATTGAACCAGCGTCTCTTGCACTGCAAGCCTGATTCTTAAGCACTGGCCCACCAGGGGAGGCCTGAAGTGCTTTCCTGTTTGTCCATCTGATTTTTCTTTCACAGATAAAAGGTTTATTCCCTGTAGTCACTTTTGTTCGTTTAGTTTCACAAATTTTTCTGGAGTGCCAGACTGCCGTTATTCTAGGCCTTGAAGAGAGTGAACAAACCAAACAAAAACCCCCGCCCTCAGGAATCACATGGTCTAGCCACTTGTGTTTCCTTCCTCTCATGTCAAGTATGGAGGCTGGAAGTGCTCTTTAAAGTGTGTTTGAGGTCCTTTCTTCATGCAGACTCTTCCTAGCTGGAGTCCCCTCTGGCCCCTGGGCTCCGCCCCACACCCACAGTGCACAACACCCCCCCCCCCCGGCCCCCAGGTGAGTTTTCACAGGACCACGCAGAGTGCTGCGCTCCCACTGAAACGCCCCAGGGCTCAGCAGTCTGCCGTCTCCCCCTGCCCCTCCCATGTGACCGCACCTCCTCGGCCTCCCTTCCTCCTTCCTCCTTCCTCCCACTGGAGCTCGCCAGGGCCTTGCCTGTTCCCCTCCCACTTCCCTCTTTCTCTGTGGCTTCAGCACGAGCATCATCTCACACAAAACCGTATGGAGGTATGGCTGATTTAGAGTGTTGCATTCATTCCTCTGTCCAGCAGAGTGGTTCGGTTATGCATACATGCGTTCCTCCTCTGTTCTCTTCCATTGTGGTTTATCACAGGATGTTGAATGTGGGTCCCCGTGCTGTACGCTAGGACCTGCTGTCCATCATCCTGTAGCGGGCAGTTTCATCTGGTCATCGCAAACTCACAGTCCACCCCTCCCTCACGCCCCCCCCACCTTGTCAAACACAGATCTGCTCTCTGTGTCTGTGAGTCTGTTCCGTTTTGTAAATATGTTCGTTTATGTCGTATTTCCTGGAGAAGGAAATGCAACCCACTCCAGTATCCTTGCCTGGAAAAATCCCATAGACAGAGGAGCCTGACGGGCTGCAGTCCATGGGGTCGCAAGAGGCGGACACGACTGAGCAACTAAACCACCACCACTATGTCGTATTTTAGAGTCCACATTTAAGTGGTATCATATAGTATCTGTCTTTCTCTGACTTAACGTCACCTAGTGTGATAATCTCTAGGCCCATCATGTTGCCACAAATGGCAGTTATCTCCTTCTTGGTATGACTGGGTGGCATCCACACTATGCATGGACCACATCTTCTTTACCCATTCATCTGTCGATGGACATTTGAGTTGCTTCTGTGTCTTGGACACTGTAAATCCCGCCTCTATGAACACGGGTGCATGTATCGCTTGGGTCACAGTTTTCTCTGGATATACGCCCAGCAGCAGGGTTGCTGGGCCATATGGCAGCTCCAGTTTTAGTTTTTTGAGCACCCTCCACACTGCTTTCCATGGTGGTGGCCCCAGCGTGCATCCCCGCCCACAGCGCACGGGGCTGCCTTTGCTTCCCAGCCTCAGCAGCATGCACAGTCTGTCGGCGTGGCGGTAACGGCCATTCTGCTTGGTGTGAGATGAGGTCGCAGTGTAGTTGTGCCTTGTGCTTCTCTAATAACGAGCGACGATGAGCACCTCTTTCTGTGCCCTTGTGCCTCTGCGCGCCGCACAGGCCTCTCTCGGACTCTGTTCTGTCCTCGCCTCCCGGATCCCTCTGCCTGGCGGCTCCTCTCATTCCGGTAGCGCTCACTTCTCACTGAAGCCAGAGCACGTGTGTCGTCTGTCGCCAGTCCCCACACTGAGGTCTGAGCCCCTGCAGGCAGGTCGCTTGTCTTACCTCCTGAGGGCACCTCGGATAATCCTGGCTAGTGTGAGCAAGTTGATAGCTGTTGTTGTGTATACATGAATTTTTTTTTTAACATTTTTCAACATCTCCTTTTCTTCTTTTTCAAAGAAGGGAATAGACTGTACTCTTTCCTTTTCCCCTTCATGTTTTATCTTCTATTTAGCTTCCTGTCCCTGCATTCTTCTCGAAATTGTTGGTTCTGCTTTATGTATTTCCTTGTAAGCACACTGAGGTTCCTCTATGAGTGTCACTGTAAGGACTAGGAGGCAGCGCTCTCATCGTCAGCTTGGCAGATTCAAAGCCTGGAGCTGAAAGTGAGCAGGTGAGGTGTGTGTACTGTGTGAAGACATCACAGACACGTGGATGAGGGAGAAGTTCATACATGGTGTTGGGAAACTTGACAAGTCTTTTGAAAAGATATCAACTTATAACTTTAACACACAGCAAAACAAATTCTGAGTTAATCAGAGTTCACTCAAACAAGCAAACATAGAAATAAAACCTAAGAATCTGTCTGACCTCTAGTTACTTGACTTTTTATCCTTAAAAGTCATGGAAGAAGTCACAAAGGGAAGGACTGGTAGATTTTATTGCACAATTGTTTCTGAATAGATAGGTCAGAAATGTTTTAAAAAATGAATCAAAAGCAAACAAAATTGGGAAAATATCTGTGAAAGAAATGACTGACAAGCTATTTCATTTATGTGTGGAAACTTGCAAGGTTCAGTAAGAAATACAAGATCCTGCCTCAGGGGCCATCCCACCTCCTGCCGTGTTCTTCCCTGCCCAGAGGACCTCAGCCCAGGTCCTGACGCTGCGTTCCATTTATGGCTGAAGGGCCCTTCATTTGTGTCTGCAGCCTGACTTCTTTCCTTAACTTAACTCCAGGCTCACTTGATTGCACTGTACTCTCGGTTTCGCCTGCACACACCTGTTACCCCCCAGTGTTCTCAGAAACCGTGAATGTCCTGACCGGCTGATGTAGCCCTAGCACACCCTGGGCTCCTCCCTCTCCATGACTGCACCGTCAGGTCTGTCAGCAGCGCCTGCTCAAACTATATCCTGAAAGGCACTTTCTGGTCTCTGCCCTGCTGATACTGAGTCATGCGTCCTTCCAGTCTCCTCACGGCCTCCTGACTTGTCTCCCGGGAGGCCCAGTCTTACCGCTCTTCTGCTCCGAGCCCTTAGTGGCTTACCAGCACGCCTGGCAGCAGGCCCACCGCCTTGCAGCGCTGCAGGGAGGCCCTGCACGGCCCGGCCCCTGTCTCTGCACCCCGGTCTGCGCCCCCCTGGCTCACTGGACTCCGGCCACACTGGCCCGCTGCCGTCCCCCCAGCTCCCGATCAGGCCCCCCCTCCAGGAGCTTTGAGCTTGCTCTCCCCCAGGCCTGGGCTCTTGCCTGAGAATCCACACTAACTGTTCAGTCTGTGCTCGGATATCGTCTCTTCAGAGAGCCTCTCCTTGACTGCTGTGTCTAAAATAACGGACCACTTGACTCCTTTTATTTTTCTTTGTTACTGTTTTTGTTTTTGTGGGGTTTTTTAATAGCAATTCTTACTAAAAATGGTATTTTTAGCGTTTTATTCGACTTTTTCTGTGTTT